TTTTTTTGGATCAATCGATAGGTAATGACGAGACGAATGCATTTCAGTTAAAATTTTTTATCTAGCATACAAATTGTGGGCGTCACAGGTTTTCGCGGTTTGTGGGCGTTAAAGTGGGCGTGGCAAACTTTTTTTTAGGTCAATCGATAGGTATTGATGAGAACATTACATTTCAGTTAAAATTTTTATTCTAGCATCAAAACTGTAGGAGCCACAGTTTTGGGCGGTTTGTGGGCGTTAGAGTGGGCGTGGCAGTCTACTGAAACAAACTTGCGCTGCGTAAGAAGCTCAGGAATCTTTACGCCAAATCTCAATAGCCTAGCTCTCATAGTTTCCGAGATCTCAGCGTTCATCCGGACAGACAGACGGACAGACGGACAGACGGACAGACGGACAGACGGACATGGCTAGATCGACTCGGCTAGTGATCCTGATCAAGAATATATATACTTTATGGGGTCGGAAACGCTTCCTTCTGCCTGTTACATACTTTCCGACGAATCTAGTATACCCTTTTACTCTACGAGTAACGGGTATAATTACCTGTAACTTTAGCTAAGTTTGGTTATATCCATTGATGATTATGAAGATAGTTCAACAAAGTCATAATGAAATTCAATCAAAGTTATATTTATATATATATATTTAGGTCTTAAATTACTTAATGGGAGTACATATGACTTATTTGTATTTACTTGCATTTATGAAATGTTTACTTTTGTCAAAAAAGTTTCGGACCAGCCTTTAGTAAAATGTTTTGTTGTTTTCGATCTCAGAGCTCATCATTAACAGCCTTCTTTTTTGGTTCCTCGCTCTCTAAGCCACTTTCCTTACGTTTAGCCTCATCAACATTTGTGGACTCTTTTGCTTCCAGAGCTTTGGAATAGCCTTCTTCTTGTAGATTGGGGGATCGTTCCTTGTCCAAAAAGTCAGGTGCATCCCAGGGTTGGGTAACCATCTGACCGAAGGCGAGATAGATCAAGTCGCCCACGACAAAGATCACGGCGGATATGATGAACACAACCTGCCACTGTTGGCGATCATGCTGGAAATGATAAAAAGAAACAGTTAGTTGGCAGCCTTTTAACTATCTATTTACCTATCTATATTTAACAGGTAAGAAAATATGATCACGATAGATACAATATACATTTTCGGAGTCCATCAGTCCGTATAAACCTTAAGATCTCTAAAAGGTAAGTGGATAGTAAGATGAGATTGAAAGAATGATGACCTCGACTCTTAGATATGTTACTGATTTCAAAATAAAATTCATGGGTATTTTTTTACGCTATGAGTAATGGATACTATTAGGAATTTTTCATTTATACTCACATTATCTTTGACCATAATTCCCACGAGGAGGGGCGTCACAATGGGAATAACGTTTGACGCCGTATTCGCAATTCCCATTAGAATACCAGCATGATTCGGTGACAAGTCAATGGTGTTTATGGTACTGCCAATTGTGGAACCAGCATTGATTCCCACATTGGTGCACATCAGCACCACGGCCAGGGTCTTCTGCTCACTGTCCAAAAAGCCGACTCCGATCAGAGCAGCCGCGGGCACAAAGAACGCTATTGAGTTTATGGTCTTGCGAATGCCAGTAATGGACATAATGTTTCTGGTCAGCAGGATATCCGCGATGATCAGGTAGACGACGGCCATCACCCAGGATGCGAAATAGGGCAGAGCCGAGTAGAGGGCATTTTTCTTCATGTCCATCAACAGAACTCCATTCATGTAGGCAGGCATCTCGGTCTGGAGGGTGGAAAATCCCCATGACTGACAGCATTTGGTGATCATGTAAGCCCAGAAAGGCACCGATGTCCAAATGGCCTTCCAAGGAACCGGAATTGAAGTGCCCGCATGTCCCTCTTTCGCCTTGTGACTGGAGCTGATCGAATTCTCAATATAGCTGCGCTCCGCCTCGCTGATTAACTTGGATTCGCCGGGAGTGTCGGCTCCAAAGAACCACCACATAATGCACCAGAAAATTCCGACACCACTGGACACGTAGAAGATTCCTGGCCAGCCAATACTTGAGGCGGCAATTAATCCACTGGCGAACATGGACACCAAGGTTCCACAATCAATACCCATGTTGGCCAGGGCTCCCAGCCGATTTCGTTCGTTCACCGGACACCAGTTGGCCAAGTGGGCATGGATGCAGGGGAACACGAAGCCCTGGAAGAGACCCATCGCCATCCGGAGGGCACAATAGGCCTGCCAGCCACCCCAGGAAACGCACCAGGGGACCAGGGCAACCAGCACAGCTGATCCAAGGGTCGAAGCAAACATTGTGATTCTGGCTCCATAGCGCCTGCAGAGCCATCCACCCAGAAATTGGGTTAGTATGTAGCCCCAGAAGAAGCTGGACAGAATGTAAGAGCGCTGCATCTCGTCCCAATCGTACTCCTGTCAAAATTAAACAAATATTGTTTAAGGTTCTCATAAAAATTCCTTCAAACTTACTGGAAAGTCCGGATTAGTACTTTCGGCATCGGTCATTGCCACAACCGCCACTCCAGCATTGAACTTGGTCATAAAATTGACCGTGATGGCCGAGAAGAGCAAAAAGGACTGCACATGTCGCTGGCCAAGCATGGGACCTATGCGATTATAAATAGATAAATCGTATAAGTACCAAACTTAAGTGGGTCTCAGTATTGTAAAACATTGCCAGCACAAAATAATCCACATCGATGGGCTAGTTTCGCTTTCTTAGAAAAATGATTGACCACTTGAATTAAAGATTTAAGACACCTTACGATATGATTAAGTAATTGAAAGACTTCAACAGTCCTTCAAATCAATTAGTATTAATTAAGATCAGGGTTTTGGGCGTGGGTGTTGGGGGTGAAAATTGCGTAATAGTTTGCAAAAAAAGTATGCTACGAAAACCTTTTTTGTATAAGTCATCACAAGCGCAGACAGGTGCGTGACACTTTTTAAATTATATAATTGAAAAACATTTGGCTCGATAAACGAAGAATAAATGTTTTTAAAGACTAGAATATTATTAAGCAAACTTTATTAAAAGTACTATTCATATTTAAAATTCACCAAGAAAATATTTAATAAAATTGCACTAATAAACATAGCAGCAGTTTCTTTAAAAAAAGCTAGGATAATTTAAATACTTTAAGGACAACTAACCCTTATTTAATTCCGTTGCCATATCCGCACCACTTGGAATTGTACCACACACGCTAAAGATTAAAATAAAACTTAACTATTCTAATGCCAACAGCTCGCTTTACACCTTCTACTTTATTGAAGAACCAATCGAAACCGTCATGATCGTCAAGTAAAACCCGCTTAATGAACACGAAATCAGGCACTTCATAAAAAAGATATTGATAAGGTAATAACAATGGAACCATTGGTTTGTACTTATAAATAGGAGTGATAGGGGTTTCATTACGGATAAGCGGGCATGCCGACAACGAATGGCTCCCAAGGTGCTAAGACACATGTAATCCGGATGCGATCTAAATGAAATAACATCTAAAAGCTGTTTTAATTTTTACAGATATTTAATGTCCAACCATTCTTCAGAATAATGGTGTCAATGATTCGTCATGCTTACGCATTAGTTCCCATGAGTTCTATCAGGAAAATCCATTCCACCAACTCATGACAAGAAGTCTGCGCACAAAGTACCTCAACTGATAACGAACTTCTATTTACTCGTACTTTATTGGACTATATAACGACTTAGAGTACTCTATACTATACATATTGCTTGACCCGTTCTCTCAGCGGCTCTCCTCCTCCTCCTCCTGCAGCCGAAGGATATCCGCTTTGTTGATGAAGTAATAGCTTGGCTGCCGTCCTTTCAGGTCCTTAGCGGTTCGCTTGGCCCCGTTCTGAATCAAAATCCGGCTAACGGTCTCCAGCGCGTTGGTTCCCATGGCGTAGTGCAATACAGTGCGGTCCAGCTGCGTAATGGATTGGATTAAAACTAAACTCATCATATCAGCAAGCATACTCACATTATCTGGGATTTTCAGAGCCTCAGGACAAATCTTCACCAGGCGCTGAACCACTTCCTCGGACTCTTTCAGTACCGCTATGTGCAGGGCGGTTCGACCTGGAGTTTGTTTAGATAAAATCAAGGATCTCCTTTTAAGGAACTCAATACTCCCTTACCATAATAATTCTTGGTCTTTACCAACCACTTGGCATTGGCAACATCGGTCAGCTCCATTACACGCTCCATGTTATTTTCCCTGATCATCTGATGGAGTTCTTCACGAGTCTCCTCCAAGGCCCGAAGATTGGTAAGGAACTCGCCAAGAGCTTCATTCTGTCGGGTCTGTACGACATCTATAATGGACTGACCGTTTTCGTCTTCGATGTCTAAAATGTGGTCGTAGCCTTGCAGAGCAAGTTGTTCGAAGGGTTCCACGTTGCCTTTTTTGGAAAGACGATTGTAAGTAGCTTATAAAAAGTACACTCTATGCTTAACCTACCTATTACTGCCTGAGCCAGGACATATCGATCGATCTCGGCCGCATTGTTGGGCTGATTCGCTTGCAAGGAGACATCGCGAGCAGTTCGGTACAGCTCATCCCGGTAAGTGATGTCAATGCCCGACTCCTCGATAAGAGTGTAGAGGGCTCCCCGCCGATGGGAGCGGGCACAGGCGAAGTGCAGCATACTCTGGCCGTGCTCGTCCCGCTCCTCCATGTGCTGCACCGCCAGAGCTCCTTCCGCATCCTCCTCCTCGGCCAAGGATCGGGAGTCCAGCTCGATGAGATCTGCATTGGTGGGACCAGGACCATTTCGAGTGCTGGCCAACCTTGGATTTGAGCTGGCATTCGATTTGGCCAAGGCCAGTGTGGAGGTGGAACTGGTGCTGGCCTTGCTGCTCCCCGAGTGGACCTGCACCTCGGTCATGGGCTTGCGATCACCCATGAAGTGCTGGAGGTAGTTGGTCAAATAGGCCACGGGATCTTTAGGTCTCTTATTGGCTATTTCAGTGAGGGCCTTGATCAATGGATCGGCGAGGGCTAAGGGCAAAGAAATGGGAAAGATTTATATTAGTATATTTAAGTTTAAGTAGAAAAGATCTTTAAATAGGTACTCTTTTTAGATAAGTATTAATTCGTATTTTCTGATAGATCTAGATATCTATTATTATGGTTGCATAATCTTTAAAACCGTTTTCAAGGTATTTGCATTTGCCATATTTAATTTTTATAGAACACAGTTCTTTAAATATGTATGTTTTTTAGATAAGGTTTTTTTGCTTCGTGTTTTCTGAACTTAACTTAGTAAATAATATTTGCTGGCTTATCTTTAATGAGTTTCCTAACAGAATGTCGTTAAATTTGTATTGCGTAACCAAATCTAAAGAATTCCAGAATACTTACAATTAGCTAGGTATTTGCCCTGCTCGGTCTTGAAGATGGGATTGGCCTGAAAGCTCACTGGCTGCGCCTGACCTGTGTGGAAAACAAGCTGGATTAGTCACTCCAAAGGCCCAGGATATCTTCAGTCACATTCAGTGGATCGAGTCCCAGTAATCTATATACACAAAGCGAGAGGAGGGAGCATTTTTTTGGGCGGGAAGGAGTTAAACAAACGAAGATGAGGATGCCGATGGTGGAACTCAAGAGACTTTGCAAATCATATTGAAATCGTGACAAGATCACAGTCTTTGGGAAAGACACGGTTACGGATACGACTATGTAGGTGTAACTCAAGGCGGAACTTACGATTGCGGATTAACTTTAAGAGCAGCGTAAGCGGAGGAGATTTGAGATGAGGGCACGAGGTAGGTGTCAATCAGATAAAGTACTATATAAGCATTTGAGGTTTTGGGTGCTGAGGTATTCTTTTCATTTGTATATACATTGAGCTGGCACTTGGTCCTTTTCTCTAGTTACGATCCACGATGCTGTTCTTCTTGCGTTTGAAGATCTTTACCAGCATGGTGGCAATGTGTTTGGAGTTTGTAAGCGACATATCCTTCTCAAGTGATAGTATGTTGGTGACTGCAGTGCAATAATCCTGGAAAAGCACGAATTCCACCACACCCATACTTTGCATATTTACAAGGCGCACGGTGAGTTTTGACAGGAGATTGGTCACCATACTTAGGCCTCTTACGGAGCACAAGTGCCGCAGGTTGTCCATCTCTTTCATCAGATTGGTCAACTTCACGATGGTCGTCATCTTGAGACCTGTGCCCAGGTAACTGGGTCTGGACTGCAGGTATCCCAGGAGGTAGCTCTCCTTGAAGTGCAGCTGCGTTTCCAGATAGGAGATGGCTCTTCCCACTCGCGTATAGGCGGCACCCATATCGGCAGGCTCTTTGCTGCTGCTGGTGGAGATAATTCTCAAGTGCTCCTGACAATTCAGCCACACAGCCAAATTATTGGCTGAATTAACAAAAACACCCCTGCCATATGGCCAGAGGGCTCCATTAAAAGCCGTGGACTCGGCAGCCTGAACCAGATCCTTGGTATCCAGGAGGGGAATCATCAGACCCAGACTGCTCAGCATCATGGTCACCTCCGAATCGGTTTCTAGGAGTTCGGTCATGGTATAATAGTTACCCGAATCCGTTTCGCCAATGGCGTCTGCAAAGTGCGTGGTGAATATTTTGCTCATCATCAGGCGCTCCGCTTGCTCTAGTTGGCCAATGGTGAGGTTCAAGGGTAACTCCAACTGATCCAGATTTCTGGAGACCTCAACCAAGCAACGGGTGACCAAAAGGGACTCATCGTCAAAAACAAAAGCCGCCGTATTGAGCCGTTCGCCATTATCCATTGGGAAGTAAGCCAGTCGCGGTTGTGGCTTAAAATCAGCATCGATACTCAGGCAATGCATATCCTTTAGCAACGGCACCAGGAACTCTTGGAACACCACAAATACATCAAAATCTGGGGCTATAATGCCGCAGTTGATATCCTCCTCCAAATGGCGGGCCTTCGAAGTCTTCCGCATGGCCGGCCACAGGACATCGAAGAGATTGTGATCGAGACGGGTTTGCCGACGCTTGATTTTCTCATAGACCCCACGCTTCAGGAATCGACTCAGATAACTAGTGACCGAAAGCTGCAGCGAAGAAGCACTCAAGGGCTTTCGATGCGATAGAGCCGATGCCGTAGTACCGCTCAACAGTTTTCCCGATTCCGCAATGACGCTATAGCAGCGCTCCAAGGTCCTCGAGATCTCGCCGTCCTGCAGCTCCCGCCGGGCACTGTGCAGATCGTCGGGGACTGCTCATGGATTTCCGGAGCAGCAAAGATTATAATTTTTTTTTGGTTTTTTTGACGATTATCAATCAACACACACCAAAGCGTAGACAAAGACACAGATACAGATACGAACACCGAGATCTTGATGGATACGGATGAAAGGATTGCAGGGTGGGTGATCGGGATAAAAAAGGCGCAGGTGCTAAGGGAAGGATTGTGCGTTTCCCGCTTACATACCAAAAATTTCATCAATATTGCCAATGATTTCGTTGAAAAATTCATTGCGATTTCCCTCCATTTTAGAGGGACAACACGTATACGCAGTGTGTTCACTGGGCGACTGAAAATCGATGACTGACTTGGCCAAGCTAGCGCCGAGTTGGGTTAGCCCCTAGTTTATAGTTCCCGAACCCAACTCCGACCACGCCCCCCTATGGCCCACACACATACACACTTAGCCGGATGTTTGACTTGGCTAACAAATGTATTTAATTATTTCGGTTTAGTGTTCGTGTGTGGGCAGCGAAAGCGAGTGTGAAAACAAAAACGCCACTAAAGCCACAGACAAAGCAAAGCGGCATGGTATAGCAATCCGCTATTCGGAAAATGGGTGATTTGGGTGGTTCGGGTGGTTTGGGTGGTGGCTTCAATGTGGGCTTAATGTGGGTGGTGGTGTTGGTGGTGCCTGGTGAACGGTCAAGTTGGAGCACTGGAACACCTGCCGGTGGCTCACGGCCCCCATGGTTTCCTTACCCTGGTCGTTGAGCAACTGGTTCTCCAGTTCCTCCGCCCCGAATATATTGAGCAGCTCCGTGTAGTTCAGTATGTTTTTCGCCTTGTCCTTGTCCAGGTAAAACTCGGCCGAGTGGCCCAGCTGCGTGTGTTTGGTTATTGAATTTTAAATCAAACTCTGTTCATTATTTATTTCGGACTAATCACAAATTTATGACATATTGATTCCCACTGCAGCAGGCATTTGAAAGTCAAGAGGGGTTGCAGCGAAACGCATGAGCCTTGGCCCACTTTTTACTTCGGTTTTGTGGTGGGTAATTTAAAAACAATTTTCATTTGACATTTAAAATGCCATTGTCCGTCTACAGCTGCCTTTATTCACAATCAACTCGAAACTCACTACTATTATGGCTCGCATTTGGGTTTTTTTCTACCTACGGTGTTATGAGTTCAATTTGGGGAAATTGATACACTTAAAGAAAGGATTAATTTCCATACATGAAGGTAATACAGTATTAGTATTTTATTGCTGGGCATCTAAGGGAAAATGTTCAAACTAAAATTCAGACTGAATTTGACTGTACAAAACCATTTTTGGGAAATTGATACACTCAAAGAAAGTATTGATTTCCTAACATGAAGGTAATACAGTTTTAGTATTTTATTGCTGGGCATCTAAGGGAAATTTTTCAAAATAAATTTCAGACTGAATTTGACTGTACAAAACCATAATGTTACTTCCCTTTATAAAAGGAATCTCCAGGAATCATTTTGAACTTTGAGTAGAGGATTTAAAACCGCAGCAAAAAGTAGACAGCACTAAAGGTTTACTAAGGTCGGATCAAATTTACTATAAAAGACATTACCAAATCTACAGCTTTATAAGAACCGAATGACCTTTCATCAAATTTTAAGGGATATTTCAGGGATATTTTAGGGATATTTCAGGGATACTTCAGCGAATTTTCTTTGAACTATAGGATATTTTTTGAGCACCCCAGCAATATTTTTTCAGTGACAGCTTAAATTTTTTTCCTTGGCTCACTCACCTTGTCCAGTACTTTCGGATTGGCGCCCAACTGCAAGAGCATGTTATAGAAGTGACCGTTGTCCTTAATTGTGGCTGCGTAATGAAGCGCCGTTCGCCCGTCATTATCCGTAATGGTCATGGTCTCCGGAAAACGCGACGCCAGGTAGCGAACGATATCTGACTCGCAAATACGAGGAGGACCAATCATATAAACCGAAATCGCCGGAGTGGTAAGACTTACCCGTGTGGCCGAAGAGGACGGCCACGTGCAGCGGCGTGGAGCCGTTGGGCGATATGTCGTTCTTTGCAATGGCAAACTTCCGGCGATCCAGAGCCTGCTGCAGTGCCAGCAAACCTCCGTCACGTGCCGCATCGTGCACGCGATGTATTTTCTCCTGCCGATGGAAAATGGGAAGTGGAAAATATGATGCATGCCGTAATTAGTGCCTCAGAAAGTGGCTCTTCCTTCCTGGAGTTCGGCTCGCTTACCATATAGCTGGGCACGTTGTTGAGAAAGGCCTGTATTTCCGGTTCCTGCGACTTAAGGCCCACCAGGTTGCCGCCCTCACCATTCAGCACAATCTCGGCCAGCTGCTCCAGGTCACCGGCATCCACAATGCGCTTAATGCGTTCACCCTACGGAAAACAGTAAAGCAACATCTCCAATGAGATGATGATGCTCATGATGGTGACAGCGAAGACAACGTGGGTGCATTATCGAAAGCGCTAAGGGTGAAGGATTAGAGATGATTCTGGGTATAAAAAGAACTCGATGGTTTGCCTTATGAGTGACTCAGGTGCAAACCCAAAAACAAGCCAGGTGAGCCAGCAACCGAGGGCGATTGAGCAATTGAGCGATAGATATAGATAGACAGATAGAAACGGATAGCATTGTATACTTCATCAACTGCAGTTTGAGACTGAACTGTATAATCCTCGGGGGCACCTTGCACAAAGCCCTCAATGGCCATTGCTGATGTTAGGGACTCGTTGCCGTCCTCCTCCTGTGGCTCTGATTCACCTCCTCCTGGTGGCTGATCCTCCTGTGGATCTTCTCCATTGCCGCCTGAAGCTATTACATCCTGTTTAAATTTATTTCACCACTTAAGAATTTATGTTTATTTTGTTGGACTGTGATCGAGTACATGGCTACAAAGTGCAAAGTCACACAGATACATTAAACATGTTTACATTTATATTTTACAAGGACTATGTGCAGCTACTACGGGTGACAATGCCAGTTCTGAACCCTTTATATACTATATAATTACAAATTTAAACTATAACCATTTAATATTTTAATTAATAGTTCTGTCAAGCATTTAAGCACTCAAGCTAAATTAACTTGTTTGAAAGTCCACATGACGTATACGCAGTATCACGCATACGCCCCGTTTCCCCAGTTTTTGTTGAAATGCAGCTGGAAATAGTTATTATAACTGCCATAAGAACCGCCCACCACTATCTTTAACAAATCGCCTGGGGAACTGCAAGCATTCGGGGCGAACTCTATATATGGTATATTTTTTCCATATATAAAATATCAAATATCTAATGCCTGCAACTGTTTTGACGTTTGCATGTTCAGTTACCATTCGGACCCACCAACAACTGGATGCCTCTGACAGTTGAGCACCGACTCCGCACCCGACTCAACCTCAGTCTCCGTCCGACTTTCCGTCTCCCAGTCGAAATGTCAGGCGGGTGAAAGTGAAAACGACCGACTTGGCCTGCACATATGCATATGTATCTGCCGGTCGGAGTGAGTGCATTATTATAAAGCCTATCTGTGGGTAAACAGCTGCTGATTTCAGCCAATCGATAAGCACAAATTGAAGGCAGACACTGGCATTGATTCCATTTAATGCAATAATACACAGTAGTGAAACTGAAAGGGAAACAACGGATGCGGAAAACGGAAACGGAAATGGAAACAAACACACGGATTTTTGGGCAGGTCTCGGGTGTGCGATAGAAAAATGATAAACAAAAGACACAAGTTGCAGGTTTTGCATTCCATTTTTAATTGGTTACTGGTTACTGGTTACTGTTACTATATAATGGCTACGGCTAGATAATATATATTGTTATTTAAACTGTATTTCGAAAGAGGAGAACATAACACTTGCTTTACAAAATATATATATATGTTTGTATAGAGATATATAAAGAATTTCACTATGGGTTCGGTTATTTCATTATCTAAGCGGGCTTATGTTGTAAGTTGATTGCTAAAGTTTCGCATTTTGCTGCTGATTGGGTTGCGGCTGAAGTTGTTGCTGTTGCTGTGGCTCTTGCAGTGGTAAAACAAATTAGTATGAATGGAATTTGAGTGCCTGCTGCAGCTGATTGGATTACTTTTACTTTTTTAATTTTTAGCTTTTTATATTTTTTTTTTGATTTTTCATTTGCGTTTCATTTTACAGGCTCACATTGAAGAGGGGGGTAAATGGGTTGAGCGAACGGCACACACAATAAACGTGAATAAACTACAAAAACGTTCGAGGACACTTAGAGCACGCCCATCTGTACCTCATCGTCGTCATCGTTTTCGTTCTCTGACTCGGCCTCCTTCTCTTCGGCGGACATGGCGGCCACTTCCGGTTCCGCTTCATCCTTTACGGGGACCTCCGGCTCATCTGCTACTTCCTCTGCCTCTGCATCCTTCTCCTCCGGTTCTCCTTCAGTCTTTTTGTTTCCTTCAAGCTCACTCTCAGCCGCTGATTCTTCAGGCAGCTGCGCCACCTCCACCTCCTCGGGTTCATCTGGTTTCTGCTCCTCCTCCGGAGCCTCATCATGATCTCCTCCATTCGCCATGACCGCCGCATCTCCTCCGCCTCCTCCTCCATCTTCGTCCTGCCCAACTCCGCCTCCATCTGCGCTTACAGCTCTTGCAATATTCTGTAAAAGTAAACAATTGTCGACTGATTTGCTTTCCAAGTGATTCAACAGTTTCTGTCTACGGTCCTTCGATCACAGCCTATATTTACAGCGGAAAGGGGATTGTTGGGCTCTAAACAAAAAGCGCAGAGTGCCGTCGAGAGAAAGGTGAAAGGGAAAAGCGAGAGCCGACAATGGCTTACTTTCACAGAGTCTCCCAAAAGCTAAGTAATTCAATTACGAACACTGAAAGCCATTTTCAAAACGTGCAAGCAAACTGCTAACCATCAAAAGCCAAAAAAAAAAATAGGACAAAATAAAGAAAAAAGGCAGGATGACTTACCTCAGCCTCGCTATCTTCGCCATCGCCATTGATCGTGTTGAATGTGGCCGGCGTTTCCGGTCGGCGCTGCAATGGCGAGACGACTTCCGCTTCCGGCTCCACATCCGCCTTGGACAGATCGTCATCCTCATTGGCACTCGTACTGCGATTTCAAAATGCAAAAGAATCTCTCTCAAAGCCATGCCCCATAAAAAAACACACACCAAAAACACAAATGAAAAAGGCAGCGCAGCATTTAGCCAGCAAAGAGCAGCCAAACTTAAGCTTAATTTTAGGAGGTCTAAGACCCACCAACCAGCCAGCCACCTAGTCACCTGATCACAGGTGACCCTACCAACCACTCACCCATCATTGGTGTCCAGCTCCGAGGTGTTCTCAAGGCTGTCGTCCAGCGATTTGCGACCATTCACGGACGGAGGGACCTTGATGTCCAGTTTCTATGGGGGGAAAAGGTAGAAGGGGGGAGCAGGAGTTGGGTTTGGGTTGGGAAATCCCGGTATGATAGACTCAACCCACTCACCTTGGAGCCGGCATCCCCGGCCGCCCCGGTGTCCACCACTCCACTGTCATCGCTCAAGGCCTCCCAATCGGTGGCGCTGTCGGGGGAGACGCGGGGCGCCTCCGGCACATAAACCAGGAAGGCGCGCTCGATTTCGTGCGGCTTGTGGCGATAGTACGAGGGAGTTTTCATTTTCTGAAATTGCCCCAATGAATCATTTTAATTGCCGAACGAACGCCAAACGAAAGCCACCATCTGCACCCACTCTATACACATCGGTTTATAGTAAAAAACTGCTTGTGTCAAAAGGTAATAACTGTATAGTTACAGGCTTATCATCTTGAGAAGATCTATAACAACTCACTTTCATAAGGCAGTTCCTCATTGATGGGTCGTAATATTAGTTGTACAACAAAACAAAAAAACATAACTACTCCCCCCGAAACACATAAAGTTCTGTCGTTAAACAATGAATTATCTAAAGGTCTGGTCATTTTAAATCAATAACCTTGGGTTCTATAAATATAATAACCTTATTATGGGGATATTCCTCCACATATCTCCTTAATAAATAAACATAATTATTTTTGTGTTCAATAAAAGTTCTGTCCTTGAATAAATTAATTAGCTAAACGACTGGGCTTTCAAATCAATAACCTAGGTTTCTATAAATTTAATGTAATGGCCTTATTATGGGGATATCCCTTCCCATATTCGATTGATTCTTTTCAATAAATTTAAGGGACATATTATGTGTTTACCCCGTTTTCACATCCCCCTAATAAATATAGAAAATATATCATTGAAAGACTAACGACTAGTACATTACTCTTCCTTACCATTCTAATATTATTACCAATCGAAATAACCCTAACCATATTTTTCTATAAATATAATGGACATATCAAGGGTTTATCACCATTTTATATCCCCTAAATTAATATACAAAATTACCTAGGCCTAAAAATAAATATCATTGATAAACAAAAGACTGATAAACCACTCTACTATTGTAACCCATACAAATTCATTTCAGAAGTAATATTCTGTACAAATCCCTAAAATAACACCCGTGTCCCTACAACTTGTAGGTTACGGCTAATAAATCCCCCTGAACTAAACTAACAGATCTAGAAGATAACCCTCGATTCGATGGAATCCTGCCACCCACTCACATAATCGACGGCCTCCTCATCGCAGCCCGCTTGGGTCAGCAGGGTGTAGCACCTCATGTTGTTCTTGGCACTGGCGGCCCAGTGGAGCGGCGTCTTCCCGGTGATGTCCACCTCGTGGGCGCCCTCGGGCCAAATGCCCACCAGATACTCCAGGATCTTGGTGTGACCCAGTCCGGCGGCCTTGTGGATAATATTGAGGCCATTGCCGTCCTTGCAGGTGACCAAGGCACTGGGAACCGGTGGTTCCAACTGGGCCTGAACGGTCTCCAGACTGTTGTCGATGACCGCCTGATGCAGATCCTTGATGGCATTCTGTGCGGGGAAACGGAAATTGTATACCACCTGGGTGATGATGGGACTGATATATCCTCACCATGACATGGGGCACGGCGGCCAGGAAGCGCTTCACACGCCCATTGTTGCTGGCCTGCTGACTGAGGCGGTTGCCCTGGCCCGCCCACAAGATACGCGTCAGCTTGCCAATGTCCTTCTCGTGAATCCAGATCCGAATGGTGGATAGCTTCACCGAGAAATCTATTAGCCGAGTAATGGAAATTGAAAACGTGGAAATTAATTTTCCCGCCCCTACGACCCGATTGCGATTTCCAATTCATTTTCGCCCTCGTTCGTGCTAGCATGCAATTTGCCGAAAAGCCGAAAAAAGCCAAGGAGCCAAAAAGCCGAAACTGAAACTGAAACTGCAACTGAAAACTAAATTAAAACGAAAATAAAATGCAATGAATGTTCAAGTTTGTGACTCCCCGGCTCGCTTAAAGTGGCATTAGTGGAAACTTGAGACAATTTCCGCCCGGCGAAAAAACTTTGGCAACTTGAAATGCCTCAAGGTCGGCGCCAAACTTTTTCGCAGTGCAAAAAAATGGGTAACGCCCCTCTCCCCACTAAGTTTTGGCATCAAAACATATTAAATCGCCGAACCAGCAACTGAATGATTTAGTAAAGCATTTGGAAATCAAACACCTGGATTTTTGAATACGCACCTTCGTTGTCGCGACGCTTACGTCCATTTTGTCCACCCTCCTGTCCATTCATCGGCATGACTGCAATGGGAGTAAACATCCTGGCTCAGATTCTATTGTTTAGCTTACCAAAATGTATGACAAAATGTATGTGACAAGTTCAAAAAATTACAGTGCCTACTTCGCTTTCGATTTCCCTGTACTTACTACCTTTATATTTTACTATTTTTGCGTCTGGCCAGCTTGAGTCGCGTTGGCCAACTAACTCTTGGCCCGGCCAAAAGGTGTTGAATTCGGGTCCCTGTGTTGTGGTCAAAAGGGTCGCAAGGAGGAATAATTGCGTCCTGTTCGCGCACTTCCAACTTCAGACATGAATAAATAACCCTTGGATGTATTTGTGTGCCAGGTTGTGTAAGGTGAATAAGTCAACACTTTCATTAGAGTTCCACCAAAACAAATATGTGGAAATAGAATTTCCATTTGCCTGATTCAAGCTTGATTAGCATTCCTTTGGGGGAGATATTTCCACTACTTCTCTGGGGAAAAATAACTCCTACACGATATTCATTTAATTTTTGGCTAAGGTCTCAAAGTTTTCTTTCTTATCTGTAACTAGATTCAAACTATTTCTATAGTGTTAAAGTTTTGCTTACATGTAAAATGCTAATGTCTCTATTAGCCTTCCTTTGAAACCCCAATTCAAAGTTATTTCCAAAGGATATTTAGGATAATCGTCCTCTATTTATTTAGTTTTAACCTAAAGTCGTAAGGTTTTCATTCTTATCTCTAACTACTTTTTTAGTGTACCCTAAAGTTCTGCTTATATGTGCAAATACTGAGATATTCTATAAACATTCCTTGGAAAGCCAATTCGAAGCAATTTTCAAAGCATTCTTTCAGGATATTCTTCCTCTATTCAGTTAAATTTTGGCTAAGGTCGCAAGGTTTTCTTTCTTATCGTTAACTAGATTTCAACAATTTCCAAAGCGAACATTAAAGTTCTTCTTACATGTGAAATAACAGAGGTCTTCTATAAGTAATCCTTTGAAAACCTTTCAGGATATTCTTCCTCAGCTCTTCAGTTCATTTTTGGCTAAGGTCGCCAGGTTTTCTTTCTTATCCCTAACTAGATTTCAACTATTTCCATAGCGAACCTAAAAGTTCCTCTTATATGTGAAAATGCCGAGGTCTTCTTTAAGCATTTCCATAGCATACTTTCAGGATATTCTTCCTCTAGCACGGGAAATTGTTAGCCAGAAAATTTCCATTTGTTTCCTGGCCTGAACACCCGCCTAGCTGTTGTGTCAAGGTCTTCTACTCCATCTATTTTTGGGCCAAATACCTTGAGGAATTTTTCGACTACCTTTCCGAGCGGTGACATGTAAATTAGTTGGCCGCAGTGAATCATTAAATTTCCATTCCACACACACACGATTGAGTGGCAATAAAAACTGCTCGAAAGTGCCACGGAAATGGCGCATTAGTGTTTGCCACTTAATGTGGCAATCAACTGGGAATGTAACTTGTTGAGCTGACACCCTTAACGGCACGCAATATGCAAATTTTGGCCACGGAAAAACAAAAAGGAACTTCTCAGCACCTTTCCTTGGCGTGTTGTCACCACAATTTCCCTCAATTAGGATGAATGAATGTGAATATGAGTATGAGTTGGTATTCATTGCACACTCACCTTTGGGCGGCGATGAATGGTAGTAGAGTCCCTGGAATCTCCTGCGTCTCTTGGGAGGCATTGTTGTATTCTGCTATCCGGTTTTTGAGTAGTTTTCTTCAACTTTAGACTAGTGAATCACTAGAGTCCGCGGCTCTGCACATCGCCCCAATGGTGATTCATGGGTTATATCCGTTCACTTGGCACTGCGAAATGACCGATTTGAAAATCCGAATATCCTAGCGCTTGATGAACCGTTGTCCTGACAAGTTCAACGACGTCTGAATGGACAATTGCACCTGCTCAGCTGGACAACTGGTGAGGTCCTTGCGTGTATGCATATTCAATGGGAAGTGCGGGAAAAGCTGGTCAAAATGGGGCTGGGCTTTTGGGGCCGTACTGAGAGTCACAACCTGTGTTCCTCACATGTGAGTTTTATGTTTTATTTATTTATTTTACAATTTGCCAGGACTCTTGGTGCACACGGTTTGTTTTCTTGTTTTTTTGCACTATGCCAGGACATTAGCAGGACTGTAGTGTCCAAAAAAGAAACACGTTGAAAACAAACCAATTAGCGGCGAATCGATTTTTCGAATTCGAATAGCCATATTATCGGAATGGTATACCACACACAATGGTATATGGAGGCGGTACAGGTCAAAACGTCCTGCCCAAAGGTCCTTGGGAGAAAGACAGCACGTGCTCATCGAAAGCAATTGATGAGTAATTCTTCGACAATCTATATTGTACGCACTTGCGTGTGGTCAAAATTTTAAGACCAACTTGACACAGTTTCCCAAGAGAGCTGCGTGAGTAGCCTCCAAGGTTTTTCGTCACTCCTGCCCACACCCCCAAAAAAAAAGCAGGTGACCTAAATTTTAATTTGTCCCAAAGGGGCCATGAAAATGTCTAAGCCAATTAGTCCGAGGTTAAAACTAATTGCCTGGTTATGTCTGTCTTCAATTAGAACGCTTTGATTACACGAGCTTATAAACGATGTATGCATTATTAATGGGTTAATTAATTTGCTTGCATAAAGTGCATTGCAGATGGGGTGCATTGAACTTGACAGGAAGTTCCCTGAGGGATATATCTTGACCCTGTCTGATGGTCAAAAGTCCAGTTACAGTCGACACAAATCACAAATCAAGGCGTTTCCAACACACTTCACTTTTCCGACTTCCGATTTTTCCGACGCTTTCCGCGTTTTCCTTTTTCCTTTCCTTTTTCGGGGCTTTGTTTTTTCGTTTCGGTTCGATTTGCACGGCGCGCGCTTTCCTTGCAGACTGTGGCATATTCAGCGTTTCGTAGGTGTTTTATCTAATTTTCCCTTCACGCACACCACCGGAGGTCGTGTTTGTGTGGGAATGTTTGGCTGATTGCTGTTACCCTTTTTGGTATTGAGTATTGGTAATTGCTGCCATCGTTTGCATGCGAACGCCAAAAAAAGCCCCTTACCAATATCATCGAAGGAAAATCGCTGGTGGGGTATTGGTGATTGGCTGAAGTGTAGGCGATATTGAAAAGTGAAGGCGGGTCCCCGCAAACAAATTTCCGATTTCAATTTCACTATCATTATCTGTCAATGTTTTTTGCATTGCAATTTAATAACCCATTGGTATGGGAAATGGCATCCATTAAACCAATATAACCTTTAAAAAGTATTATATTTACTATTGTTTTTTGCTCTGCAACTAAATAACTCAATGTAAGGAAAATGGTATCCCCTAAGTTCCTAACATGTTTTCACCCCAAAACAGAACCCTTAAGAAAAATGATATTTATAGCTTATTATCCTTTATTATTCCATATATTTATATTTCATAGGCAGTTTTCTGGCCAGCCTTGAACTTAAGCTAGCTTAGAACTTAATCGACTAAGGGGAATTGTGGCCAGGAAGCTATTGGGCTATCGGCTTTTGCTACTCAGTTCGTCTGCGGAGACGTGAATGGGTTGTGTGAATTCGATGTTTTCGGTGGAGACATCTAGGGAATATATAGAAATAGGTACAATTTATAAAAAATAGAAAGTAAGCTTAAAATCGGTAAGCCGAATTTTTTATAACCTTGATGCTAAAACCATATCACGCAACTAAAATCATACCTCGGCAGATTTGTTTACAAATATTCATTTTTATATTATTCATTTTCAAATTCTGAAATCTATTTTCTGATCGTTCCTATGACAAGCTTTATGATATAGTCTTCTGATCAAAACACAATAAAGTTGTAATTACCAAATCCCTAAAATGGTTTATTCCCCAGAGTAGAAAAGAATATGATTAAACACAACAAAGCTGTATGGGTCGCCCAGTGACGCTGGTCAAAAATATAAATACCCCTTATAAGGTCTCAAATCATACTACCCTCCGAAAGGTTATAACAAGTACTTACACTCCCCTACACACTCACCTAAAAGTGTTTCATTAAGGTTCACAGTGCTGTTTATCTCCGTTAAATTGAATATATCATTGAAGGGCAAACTCCTTCTCCGCCGCGTCCTCATTTGACCCAAGCTGATGTGGATCTTTTCCAGCGGCAGATCATCATCGCCGAATTCCAGGCACTTTCCATTTACGCAGTACCTCTTGCCCACCGGCGAACAGCGAGTGCCCGGCGGAAAGTGTCCATTACGTCCGTTTACCAGGTAGTACCTGTACTTGATGAACTCATCCTGGCAGCCCACGCGGCAGCTGCGGTCCGGCTCATCGATGCTGGCCGAGATCTGAGCTCCGTGGCCGGACAGTCCGCGCACCTTCTGGCGATATCGGGCACAGGTCTGCTCGGCAAACTCCGCAGCCGTCTGCAGGCGTTCGCAGGGCTGGATGCGATACGAGCAGAGCTGAATGGTCTCCAATCCGGTCAGACGAGAGGTGACCGCCTGGACGCCTTTCGAGTCCGTCATGCAGTTGGAGTGGCACCCAGGATGCACAACCCACTCCGATTCCGAGGATGAGCTGCGATCGAGGGCGATCAGTGAGGCGGAGGCAGGTGGCGGAGGTCGCGAGTTCTCAGGAGGATAGGGTTTGTGGTAGTTCCTCCTCTTATAAGGCGACGGTGGGGCATTGATATGGTTGCCTTGGCCATAGGCAGGGCGTTTGGCTACCTCTGTAAGGAGAATTTTAAATTGAGCTATAATCATTCCTATCACTATGTGACATAACGAATTCTTTACCATTCTCATAGTGATTTTTAGGTGGTTTCGCCTCCTGCCTTTCCGCATATCGCTGGCTGGTGGTCTGCTGCCTGCTCTCCTGATCCGAAGAGTCCCTTGTCGGTCGCACTGATCTCGTCTGGCAGAAGCTATTGTCCATCTTGAAGAAGTTTGATGTGGAATTGTCGCAGGAGAAGCGCTCACATCGCCCCGAAATGCAATAGGTAATGTCCTCCGGGCTGTGCTGCTTCGACTGGCAGGTTGTGCCATCCGGAAAAGTCCAACGCCGCGACTTTGTGCCATTGGTCTTGGTGCGGCAGAAGATCTTGCAGGAGGCGTCAAGCGTGCTGCTCAGCTGCTGGCCCTCGCCGGTGAGATCCGGATCCGACTTCCTCGCCTGCATGCACACCTGGCTAGCGAAGTCACCGATCGTCTGCACCGGCACCTTGTGGCACTGAGGCGAATTGCAGGTCACAAATCGCCGATCCCGGCCAATACAGCGCGAGGGAAAGTTCAAGCAGCTCCTGTTGAAGGTTCGCAGTCCAGTGCTGCCCTCCAGGAGGCGTCGCGACTGACCGTACAGGCAGCCGGACTCACAGGCACTCGGCTCGCTCCATTCGCCCCAATTCGAGGGTGATCCTGGCAACTCATTACCCAGGAGATTATAGTCGTTCACCTGCGGTGCTATCCTGTTCGGCTCGTGCCTGATGATCTTCTCGTGGGTGGCCTCGGGAACGTGTTCGGGAGGCCACGATTTAAGGGCTGAGTAGCTGCCCTGCCTGGAGGAACGAGCCTCACAAGACCCACCGCGGCACCACTAAAATAAATAAGAAAAGACATGATGAGAAACATATTAAAATATTTGGTGAGACAGAGAGAGAAAACAAAATCATAGACAGTTCTCAAATATTGTTAATATATTTAAATGAAATTCCTACACTTATAAACTCTCTCAATATCAAGAGTGAAGATCGATTCAATCTCACACATTTAAAATCGAGATGAAGAGTTACCGATGTGCTAGATTGCTTTCGTCTCGTCAAACAAAATATAAACTACATTTATCTCTGTTTCTCAAACATAAAAACTGGAGAGTAATTTCTTGATTTCAAGAACTTGTCTTCTCGAAAAATAAACTTGAAAGTATTTTCTTTACTTTAAGAACAGTATTTCTCAAATAAGTAAGAATACAATTTTTCAAAACGTGAACATTTAACCTTAACTAATTTTGATTTTAAAAGAGGATATTACCATGTTAGCACCGCATTCGGTGCCCTCCAAAGCAGGATGCGAGGTCCAAGGCAGTCCATCCTGGCGACAGTGGAGATCCCGACAGATTTCCATCTTACTCTGGGTGCTGGCCTGCATGAAGTTCTTTCCGAAGCGCAACATGCACTGCTGGTTGGCATTGAACCGCTCACCAGGAAGACGCCCACCAGCTGTGTGATCCCAGGGACCCACAAACTGATCACGATCGAAAAGGCACTCTGCCTGGGGATCCCTAAAAAAAGTAATGAAATATTTATTAATTAAAATAACTTATACTAATCCCTATGCTTTAAAGAAACTAGTTAAACTCTAGGATTCATTTCAACTTACATTAAGAAATCTTCTAGATAAGTGCGTGAGCACTTGGACCAGGTGACCTTGCCACTGCCCAACTTGGGAGACATGATGTGCATGGTGGGATCGCAGCTAATCTCCTTGGCATCGTGCCTCATGCCCAAGCTGAAAGAGAAAGCTATTCAATGATATCCTTTATTTTAAGGAACCACCTACTTGTGTCCTATTTCGTGGGCCACCACAAAGACGCTCTCGAAGTGCTTGGCCTCATTGATTGTGCAGGAGTATATGGATGTGCACATTCCCTTGACCGTGGCCATGCCCACCACCTGACTATTGGCCTTGCCCTTTTCATAGGTCACCAGATCCAGACCTGTCAAGACCAAGGCATGGTCGTAGTGCAGGGGATCTGCATCGGAGAAGGGGTTCAGTTTCTCCTGCCATTTGCAAAAGCTGTTGAGATAATTTTCCACATCCCTAGAGCGAGCCAGTCCTGGTGGATCCCAGGATTTCCAGATTTCGAGACGCTTCAGCACAAAGTTTATGCGACGACCCAGGGTGGGATGATGATATAGCAACTGGACGCCATTGATCATGGCCAGCAGAAAGCTGACCACCTTGCTCTCCGTGTTCGTGGGAAAATTGCGCTGCATATGGGCATAGAGATCGCTGTCCACAAAGATGGCCGTCTCTATAAAGAGCTCCTCCGGAATGTCCGACCAGCGGTTGCGCGGAGGATCCCCAATGTAGCGACGCCTTCTTTGATGATGATGATGAAGTGGATTTGGATGAGAATGATGGTGGTGTCGTGGCTGGAAGCGCAATCTCAACGGCGACTGGGCCTGAGTCTGGGCCCGCAATCGTCGCCTTGGTTCGTTGAACTCCTCCGCATCGGGCTCAAACTGCAGCTGGCTGTCTAACGGTGGAGCCGTTCGCCTTGACGAGGCCCCACTGTAGCCACCGCTCTTGTCCACCCTCGCTTGGTAGAGCACATGCGTCCCGGTGCCGAAGCGCGAGGGGAGCGGATGGATCACCAGGTCACTGCCATTCTGCTGGAACACACCGCGCTGCGGGATTGAGGCGTGAAAAATTAATAACCGACGGGGATAAGTAAACACACGATCTCGGAATGGAAAATACTATCCACATTCAGTGAAATGTGCTACTAAATTGAACAATTAATT